GATGACGGTCCCAGACACGAAGCATGGCAAGATCTTGCTGCCCATAACAATTATTTATTCCAGGTCGATCTGCACTGCTCTACACTCAAATCGCGAAAGAAAGCAGCAAAGATAAACATCACGACAATTAATAATATGACGTGGCGTATCTTTGTTGATAATTCATATCCACGTATATGTCAGATAATAACGAATTTAATTACGTGAGTAGGTAATACAATGTTGACATTGTCAATAGACTCCGTTCTCTCTCTTTGCCTTCAGAATAATAAATCTCCCTTAAAATTTCCCTGATCTTTTGCAATGTTTTAATTTTCCACATAACATTTCGCGAATTACATAATAAAAATAAATATGCAGAGATTATTATAAAAATAGTTCATTCAAACGTTTGCTCTTAATTGCTTTATATTAAGCACATTCATGAAGACACATTATTTGTATCTTCTCGATTATAGAAATATTTCAATTGTATCTTTATGCTCAGCTCCTACACGTTAATTTTGTAAACACCTTTTTAATCAATTAAAACCCAATTCCACTAATGTAAGATTAGTTTGAATCTCGGTTTCTTTTTTTAATTCTTAGAATTAGAAAAACAAACAGTAAATTGAACCGAGATTGAAATTAATCTTACATGATGAAATCGGATCTGAGATATCAGGCTTGTTCTTTTTAGTTACACTTCTTGCATTATCTTTTTTTTTTTAACGTGGAGAGAAAAAGAAGAAAGATAAACCGTGCAAGAAATATAATTACAAAGAACAAACTTATCGCTAAAGCGATAAAGAATATTAAAATTTTCTTCTAACTTTCTTCTTGTTTTCTATAAATATTATAAAAATTGTCAGCCATTTACATATCGCGTCGTAGGAAATATTGCAATACGTTGAAGTGGTTTAAGAATAACAATTGTTTTTTAATAGTTATTTTGCAGCTACTAGATATCGAATGTTTCTCAACGTAAGAATGCATCTGCTCTTTTCTCGTAATCCTCTTTATTTACTATAAAACTATGTTTTTAACAAATTGCAGATACGTGTACGAAATATTATCGCTTGAATTCAATATTCGATCGCTCGAACGACATCCAAATAGAACGGACGTAACAAAATTGCTCATATCCACAGGGAGCAATGAATTTTCCCTCTTATGGAGATATTCGTGATGCGCTCCATATAATGTTCGGCATAAGGATAGTTTAAATTAATATAAATTAATTTAAATATCAAATGTGTTATCTCTGTTACAACCGAGATGTCTTCAGTGAAATTATACCTGTAAAAATTTTATCTGATACTGATATCTCTTCTCTATATGATACTGATTTCCCTTTACTCCATCCCTCTGAATTCAGATTGCGACACGGACATTTACAATATTGCCACTGTGTATACATTTACATAGAGATCTTTCCCAGATAACAATGTTTAAAATCATAAGACGTCTTTAAAGCGGTTTCTAGACAATCAATATTATTACACAATATTTGATATTGAATAATATTATGTCTAGAGGCCACTTAAGATGGTTCTCACAAAGATGTCTTTAAGACTTATGATTTTTTTACTGATTATTTGGATATTATCTATGTTCAGCTATTAGATTGTTTTGAATTGTTTAAAGGGCGTATCAAAATAATTGTATAATATTGAATGTCTAGCGGGGGGAGGAGAATTTAACGGTTCTTGTAAAAATGTCTTTTTTAAGATTTTCTATTTCTTTTATAGACATTCTTTAATACTTATGTTCTTTGATTTTGAACTTTGTATTATCTGGGTTCTCTTTTAGAGTTTCATGTATATATGTATTGCGCGCATCTGCCAAAAATGATTACATATACGTACAATTGTAAATTTGCTAGAAAAAATTAAATAAAATCTACGTATACACAATAGTTAAAAAATAAAATGATAAATTTCTCCTCTACATTTTGTTGATAAATTCATAAACGTTACAGAAATTCCGTATATCCAGAGAAAATAAAAGAGAAATAAAATGACGAAAGAGTGCATTAAATTTTTCTAACACGACAATCGAGACGAGCGTGTCTTTGGAACTGAAAATGAAAAATGCGCGTTTAAAAATAATTGTATTATTTACACGATATATGCAGGTACATGAAATGCAAACTGCGCACAACGAGGTCTCACATATAAGTGGATTTCAATCGAGGACTCTTGAATGCGCTCAATCTCGAAAATCACGAATAGAAGAGCCTTTTTTTATCCTATATTAGCGTTCAGTCGTGATACTCCTGATTCCGATTTCCCCCAATTACTCTTGACTCGATGTAAAGATGAAAATCTGTATAATTTCGACGTAACGTATAACATCACATACTAATATCCACTGCAGACGCGCAAGAAAAAAAAAGATCCGCGTATTTTGCCTAAAAATCTCTGTATTAGATCGAGATCGGTATAATTTAGTGTTTAATTGCGAATGCTTCTATAATGCTTTACGCATAATATGAAAAAACTCTCACGGTATCATGCAAGATTTAACGTCTTTATTACATTTTTTTTAAACGATCCGGCAATTCTATATTCTCTTAATAACAGCGTTATTATTAGTAATAGTAATATTATTATTACGATTATTTTTTTCTTTTCCGGTTCTCTACAATTCAATTTAAGCTGTTGCAGGCGTACACATTCACATCCGTGGAGATTATCTGATTCGATGTCTTTTCGAGTTACTGCATGCGGCATATAGTAAGAATTCTCATCCTCTCTTTCTCACTCTCTCTCTCTCTCCCTCCCTCTCTTTCTCTCTGACACGTGACGATACATTTTTCTTTATTTATTATCGATCTAATTTGGGAAAAACGTAGATTTTCGGATAGACTAAACGAATTCAAGGCATTTTGCCACATGTACCAGCTACTATATTATTACTATTACCCTATTTTCGTCATTATTCGTTACTATATAAAAATAATACAATAACTATATATAATAATTATAATGATATTTATACCACTAATTAATGCTCAATTAGCTGAAATGGCCATTCCTCTCTTTTGAATAGGAATAATTAATAAGTAAATAATTTTAAAAATCTATCTTCGTAGTTTTAATTTCTAATATTTAATATAAGTGCTTATCTTATCTATGTTCAACAAGGTATCCTCGATTATTAACGTAACAACCTGCCAGCAGCGCAAGGACTAAATTGTATTTAACCTTCCTTCTTCTTCTTCTCTTCTTTTATTCTTCTTTCTTCTATCTCTGGGCCGCAACAGTATAATCTTTCAATTAATCTCAAGATCAATGAGTTAACAACACAACATGTTATGCAAGCGTTACTGAAATTCTGTAATATCGATTATATTTGGCAAAGCGACATGTAAACTCGCTGCTTAATCTTGCTGTTCATAATATATGTATAGGCCCCGCATGGAGGCATATTCTTTTTTTCCACAGGCATCTAGGCACAACAGATATAAAAGTAGTACACTCAGAAGTATCCAGATTTTCTCGTAGCAATCTATTATTTTTAAAATAGCACTATCATATACATCCTAAGATAACGCGCGCCGGCATGTATTTTTCTTTTTTGTCTTCATTTATTTGTTTATTCTCTTACTACAACGAGCCTGTAGTGTTAAAGCAAGTACGTATATTTATATATGTATATATCATTTGCACATAAATGGAAACGCCTCATTCGTAAGAATGTTAACACAACAAGCTCGCATAGCGCAGTAATATAGGTTACAACATCGAGAGCACATACGTGTATATCTTCGATCACATTTCCTCATACATATCTCTCATCTGTGTATAAAATCTCTTGTAGAATAGAATAGAACCAAATCCATTACAACCGTAATATCCACAATTAAATCTCATTTACGTACATTATTCGTATATTATCTTATTGTTGAGACATAGCAGAGGGTAGCACCTCAGAATGCTTCCGATGATGGCGATTCTAATGTATTTAGAGCCTGTTTTGTTTACTATATGCGCGTCTTTTATAATGATACTATTACACTTCTTCTTAATCGCAATGTTTTTTTTCCCATAATGAAGAAATAAATACAACGCATTTCTATAAAGAATGAGTTTTTTCTGTAAGCTTCTATGAGTACCTATACACTGTGTCTTTGAATCGCATATATGCGCGGCGGGATAGTAGGATTCTTTTTTTTTTTTCTATTAAAAAAAGCAAATATGATGTGATATATATTGAAATGACAATACATAACTGATTTCGCATAGTGAGACTCTCAGCCAAAAATCATTTGCGTTCTTATCGCCGTTTTCCTTCTAGAAAGAAAACTAACTTCCGATGTTGCTACAGCAAAACAGAGGATACATGGGAAGTGGTTGTGGTAGAGACTAGCAATTATTAGGATCTGGCGGCGTAACAAGGTATTCATCGGCGCGTTTGTGGTCGGATAATGCTCGCATTGTGTACGAATCTTGCGGTAAATCGCTCTTTCTTCGTAAAAGCGGTTTCACTTTGTTCACGTTTGTCATTTTCTTCGCCTGTATAACAAAACGCTTATTTAAGATATATCTAAGAATATCATGCTGACATGCTTCATATAACAGAGCATTCAAATAAAAAATAATAATGAATGTCAATTCATACCTCATTAGCTTTAGCTTCAATTTTCTCCAAGGTAAGCGGAGTTTGATCCGTGTCACCGTCTTCATCAGGCGGTGAATTATCTATATGTTGAGGTGATATATAGGAGGTGTTATTCGTTGTGCCTTTATTTGCCACATTATAGTTTGGATGCCTCATCGCGAGCGCTTCAACGCGCATCCATGCTTCATCTCGATCTTTCATGAGCTTTCGTTCTCTTTGACGTTCCTACAAAGTTTTAAATCAAAATAAATATGATAGATAAGTTATTGAAGTTTTAATCTTTCTGCAAGATCAAATTAACATACAGTTATGTAACAATCTTGCGTTTCGCGGGTTTTCTCCGTGTTTAGATCCATTCTTGGAATGCCAACGTTTCGTGAACCTTGCAGTTCATTTCATCAGGGCGAGGAGCAGCCTGATACCAAGCTGTTCCCCCGGGTCGTTCCTTTTATATTACGCTGCTTAAAGCAGCGTAATATAAAAGGAACGACCCGGGGGAACAGCTTAGTATCAGGCTGCTCCTCGCCCTGATGAAGTGAACTGCAAGGTTCACGAAACGTTGGCATTCCAAGAATGGATCTAAACACGGAGAAAACCCGCGAAACGCAAGATTGTTACAAAGGTAACACCCGTGAAAGCCTCAAGAATAATACAGTTATGTAGTTTTGAGATTATGATTCGTCAAAACATATTTGATATTCTTATTTAATGCTGAATACAGTTAATTTATTTATGCAAGCATGAGTATTACTGAAAGAGTGAGAGGTCTGTTTTCTATAACTGAACTAGTTGTACATTTTTGGAACTTAAAAAAGTAAAATATACATTTGATATTAAGCGAAAACGAGAAAGAAAATTCTAGTACAGAGAGTTTAGTGCAGGAATAAAAAACAGACCTGTAAATTGTCTACAAATATACCTGATAGTACTGTGTTGTACATTCGTCGAATACTTTTTGATTCATTTCCATAAAAAGTTTTAGGGCGTTGTAAATTAAACCGTGGATTGTCTTGTTCCAATGGTTGCGGGAGTTTCTATAAAAAGCTGGATACATTATCGGTAAGATGACGGAATAATTGTCCGATATCAAAGACATTATGTATTCATTATTCCAATAGTAGAGAGCTCTTTCTGCCACCTGAAACAAGTGAGCATAAGTTAGATGTCGCACAAACCAGAATAACAACGTTGCATACTTGCCTGGAAATGCGGCGATGACACGCATTTGGCTAATTGCCTGAACAACGGATCCATGACTTTCTGAAATTCAGCTGGCTCAATGACGTCCAAGATCTCTTCAAGTTCATTCAAAAACATAACTTCTTTAGGGGAATGTGTTTTTGGCCAGAATTTTAGCAGATTTCTAATTACGGGTTCCGTCAGCGACGGATCCTTCTCCAGAAATTGAACAACGCAATACGCTAGTTGTGGATGGTATACGGATAATGACTTAGCTTTATGCAAGGGTAATAAGACTTTTAACAAAAACACCTTATGCTCTTCCTTTAGTGGCAGAGCAAAGCCATTTATAATACTGTAAAGGAAATAAACGCTGATAAATACCTTATAAATTTTTTAACGTTGTGCATCATATTTGTATCGAATTTGTTACCTTCCTAAAATTTCAAGTAGTTCAGCGATACCATTATGATGTTCCGTCTCATAAATAAATCGATAGAAAACGTTATTTATCTGTTTCCTAATGTACGCCCTCAGTCCTAGGAATTTTCCGTAAATCCTATGGAGGGTCGTCTTAAGAAAATCCCTCTCTCTTGGGTCCTCAGAGTCAAATAACTCCAAAAGCTGCAGCACGAATTTTTGATCTATATAACGTCTTGCTATGGACGGCTGGAAGTCCTGTGACTCCAACAACCGCAAGAAGAATTCGTAGACGAGCTGCAAATGCGGCCAAGCCGCCTCCAACGTCGGCTCATCCTCTTCTGGATCAAACTCTGCGCCATTAGGATTTGATGACGGGGGTAGCGTCCGGAATAAATTCACAGCGAACTGCAAGGATTTCCGTCGTCTGAGTAAAACCTTTCAACTTTATTCTCTCAAGGTACCATTTTATTTAGATTATGTTTCTACACGTATCTCATGTCCTATTTGAAAATATAAAGGCAATGTAAATGCTAAGAATATTTCTCATATTTTTACATATACTGACATTATTATGCTCCTTGCTAGCACTATTAATTGCTTTTTCTTTTTTTTTTATTCTCATGCAGCTATATTTTTCATTAAGCTCTACATTTTTATACAAAACTAATTTCTTAGCATTTACATAATCTTGTATCTCTAATCTACAAAAAGCTTCATGAAATTCAAAAAGTTCATGCTCTTACACATATACATGGAGTATATTAGAATGCTGTTCTTACCATGTTCACCGCTTCGGGATATATCGCTTCGGTAATAACGTTTTTGTTTTTGGTTACGTACTCGACCATCTCGTGGAGAGCAGTACGCTTTACCTCCTTCCATTTCAAATCCGACAACGGATCGGACTCGAAGTCGAAAAGGACGCAGCATTGCCGTAGCTTCTGTATAAAAAGTTCTTCCCGCTCGTTTACCTGTTGTGTTTCTGGAATCAGATAGCCGGTGATTAATCGCGCCGCACTCGGCAGTTTGTACCTTAAGAAGCAAGAATAATATTGCGGCTATTAATCATATTAGTCTACAAGAGAATATCGATGCACGCTAATATGAAGGGATACATTCGAAAGCATCCTTCTCGTGCTATTCACTTCTTTTTCTCGTTTGAATTATTTTGCTACGAATAGCTTTCCCGCCTGCCTAACTGGTCTTCTTGACATAAATGAGAAATGACTCTTTAAACGAAGTTAAATCTTTGGAATAATTTATGTTTCATATATCAGCGTCAAGATATTATCGATTATAAGTTCTTATACTTATCGATTATAAATACTTATAATACATGTATCACATGATGTATGTTTTATCCTTATTGTAAAGATATTTCACGTATATAAATATGCAGAATATTAACATTCTTTTTTGAAATAATTTGTGATTTTCAGTAAAGAGGTCGAATCAATTTAATAAAGGATATCTGATAAGGAGAGTATCCAGAATGTAATTTACCACTGATAAAAATGCAGCACGCGATCAAAATCGATATTCTATTCGTTTCTTTGAACAATTTGCATAGACAGTTATTTCAGATGTTAATCAATGTCCTATTCTTAAACTCAGAACAAAAAGCGTACTGTCGCATAGGATTGCCTTTAGTTAATATTTATACACGTCATAATGGCCCGCCAGCAGCAGGCTTTCGATTTAAAATCTTAAAGGCGCCCTACTTTTTCCGATTAATCGAGTGGGTTTTGAAGGAAAATCGATAATGGCCTTCAAAATACCAACTGTAACCGTATGACATTATTTATCGCTTGCTATTCCTAGAAGTCTCTGTAATAATAATAGGAATAGCGAGATCGATTGCCGAATTCACCTCGAGCCAACCATTTTATGGACATTATATTCTCAAACAATAAAATACAAATTTTACAAAAATAAAGTGTGCTAAATTAATCCTTCAATAATTTAATTTATGGATATAATCTTTCGTTTTATTAATAACAAATAATCAGGTGCACATATTAGTTCTATGATAAAATCATGTGCGATAATGAACTGATTTAAGCGACAGAGAGCTTTACCGATTAGAAGAGGTTGCAAAGGTTGATAGTGCAGCGCGAACGTCACCGGGTAACCCTTGCTTGAGTCCTGGGATAAGACCGTCGCCAAAGCAAGACCCTGATGAAAGCTGGGACTTTTGGGCAGAGCACCACCCAGAGATGGGCCAATTCCACCCACGTGAACCATCGCGCAATATTATGTTCAATACCGACTTTACACTCGCACTTTATTCATTGGTGAATCTCTTCAGACGCTTTGACTTGGGTAACACACGTTTTGCTATTTACGTATCGTCTCAATAGCTACTTACAATTTGCACTTTGGATTCACACACTCGATAAGTTCGGGTGTCCCCTTGATTAAAATCGCAATTAATAATATTCTATTATTTCGTTCTCTTTTCAATACGGCATCAAATTAGCATTTTATTTATAAAATATCGATAATTTCTTTTAAATATTATTGCAGTAAACCTATATTATTTCGAAATTGTTTAACAATATCAAGAGAAAATCAAGAGAATAAATTATTATAAAAATAAAGAAAAAGCTAAATATTCAAAAGCTAAATATTTTATCAATATAAAGACATAATTATTGAAAAATTATAATAAAAAAATTCAGAATCCTATCTTTTACATCAAAAATATATTAATCTAAAAAATAAAACCAACCGGTCAATAATGATCTCTCGGTATTTTTAATATTAATTGAATGTTCGATTATCGAAAGAATTCTTTATCTGATTGATGTCCATTTCTGCCCCAACGTAGATTAACTTTAAACTTAGTTTAACTTACTTTTTATTTTTTGCTAGTTTTTTTACAAATTAGAAAAAGATGAAAAGTCAGTTAAACCGAGATTAAATCTTACAGTGATAGAACCGGGCCTGTTCCTATCAACGTAGATTAACTTTAATCTCGGTTTAACTTACTGTTTATCTTTCTCTAATTTTTAGAATTAGAAAAAAGTAAAGAGTAAATAGAATCGAAATTAAAGTTTAGTTTTTACACTAATGAGATCAGGTCTAAAGAATAAAAAACTAAACATATTAGAAAATTATATACGATAACAATTTTCCCTTAATTTCAGCAGCAATATTTGAATTTCACAAACGTAGAAATGCCGGCAAAATATGTACCGGCAATAAATATGTATAACTTTTCTAAACTGTATAACTATTCTGTATTGTATAAACCATAAATGTATTCGGAAAATATTATATAAAAAAGAAAAACAATAATTAAAAATTACTGTTTTATGTTTTAATTATTAAGTTGACTTATTCAGATTTGCCAATTAATATGTTCTCGGATTTACAGATTTAACCTACTCGGACGGAAACCAATTTCCGGAGAATGTTTTTATTATGTAATTCGCAATCATCCGCCAATTTGCTCAACGAAATGCGACGCATAACTTTATTAAACCACGGCGATTGTCGGCCTTCGACAAGTCACTTTTACCGGCTTCCCACATTATTTTCCGCATAGCTCCAGCTATGAAGGAAACGCGCGTGGTTTTACGCGTTTTGCCAAACCATGCAGAAACGTAACTGTACTTTGATGCAAAGCAACACGAATCGTCCGTTACACAGTTGCGAGAATATTTTCGCACAAAGCGAATTTAATATTTTAGTGTAAGCAATATAATACTAAACTACTGTATACATAAATTTTACAAGTATACAAATTAATATGTGTTAAATTAAACGTGAAATTTATTACGAATGTTGTTTTCCGTAAATTAACAAATTCAATTAACTTCTTGTCTTTCTATATACAAGTATATTTAATATTATCAGCATTTTCATAATATATCAATTATAAAACAATTAACAACATTTTATTCAATAAACAAGTTATTTAAGTATTCAATATAATTTTGCGAAGATGAATCATTTAACTGCTATATATTAATTCTATCGAACTTTCTATCTAACTTTCAGTTTATTATTTCTTGCAAAGTGTATCTCAATAAATTCGGTTTCTCAAAATTATACAAAATTATACAAAATATCTATATATAAAAATTTTATAATCTTCATATTCAGTTCAATTCTATTTCAATTCCATTGCAATTCCTTGTGTCTTAACTGATTCCGCGTATAACGTTTAAGCATCAAAGATAAAGATTTAAATAATAAATGTTAATATTTAATCTCTTATCAAAATTTTTATACCATTTATCACTAAATTCGAAACATTGTTTGTAAATTATATAACTCACCAAATCTTTGAGAATTCCTTCGAGTTTAAAATTCACTAAACTTCATTTCCTCAATTGGGAAACTTTTAAATCAGAAGACTCACCAATTTTCGATCGGAAGCGTTTTAATCAAAAGAATTCACCAACTTCTAATAGGAAAATTTTAACTGTTCATTGATTGGTTTAAACATTTTCTCCACCCCTCTGTTGAATATCTGCTATCTTTTTTAACCGATTATAAAGTATCAATCACCAAGCGATTATTTTTATTAATTATTTCCGATATGTTTTACGACATTCATGCGAAATAATCCACTTTTGCTAGACTCAACGACCTCGAAGTTCTCCCTAAACCTCGAGAGCAGGACGCGCCCGTCCTTAACCGAGTTTTCTCTGAACGGATTCGCGATAACAACCTCGCTGACACCACCGAAGTCCATCCGCCGCTAATTTCCGTCGTTGTTTAACACTCGCAACAATCTGTTGCTTCGTTCGTATCAATCGATCGGCCGGGGAAAGCAAGGCTCTTCTCGACCTTTCCCTCGGGGTGTTCGCGCTGCGAAGCCACCCCTATGAAACACCGGCAAGCACTAGCGGCGCGTCCTCGCGGCTCGCGGGTCCCCGGAACCCGGTGACCGCGTTCGTGAGGGGCGGGAGGCGACGAGAAGAGGGGGACAGGCTGGCGGGTGAGATTCGCCTAAGTGGCACCAGGTTCAACGAACTCGAGGGTCCTCGCCGGGATCTCGCGGGTCATCTCTCGATCGGTCACGAGGTCGATACAATCCCCCTCGACGAGATTCTGGGCAGGTGGAGCCGCGACCAGGTGGGGTTCTCCGCGAGGGTGCCGCGAGGATGTTCGGGCGCTGGAACGGTTGGAAGAGAAGGATCGGAAAGGGATGGTCGAAACGAAGGCGTGGGATGAAAAGGAGGGGAAGAGGGGGTGGAACCCGACTGTTTACGTTGGGAAAACGGGGAATCATGAATCCGGAGCGCCTGCGCGACCCTTGTCGCACGCAATCGATAGACTCTGACGTAGGAGGTAGTCTCGCAACCTCGATTGACCGGCATTACATTGGGAAAGGGCAGGCGGACCAATTTGTCGCCGCCCTTCTTTCTTTTCCTTTCCTCTCCTATCCTCTCTGTTATTCTTTTTCGCGTCTTGTCCACTTTTCCGTTGTTTGTTTCTCACACTATACGTCCGCGCACTCGATCTCTATTCTTATCTAATTATTCGATTATGATTGGAATGTATATGTGAACTAGTTTCTTGTATAATGATTTCTTTACGTTACTTGATCAAGTCGATTTTAGATTGCAAGCCATTTGCAACAATCACAAAACAAGTTTGATGTATATATGTATGTAAACACGTTCGAGATATGACATACTTCTTTTTCATTTTTATTACAATGTGAATCATCAATGACACAATATTATTTTAGTCGATTTAACAAGAATGGTAGTTATCACGTGGGATTAATCTTACTATCGTGTTGTAAAAAGAATGACATTCTTGAGAATGATTGAATAACTCACCGGACAACAGCGGCAATTTTTGCAGTTCCCGATTTTTCGATATGTTGAACCTCGAGCTGCTTTGCCGTTTATCCTTTTTGATTACAGGTCCACCAGATTGATACTTGATTTTATTGATGAGCGTAGGCGGAGGCGGTGCGTTGCCCACGGGAGGTCCTCCGGTCACCTTGTTTGCCTATGGCAGATAAAAGATATTAAAAATAGATATAAAGCTTGTAGATGATAATTAATGGATGATTAAACATTTTAGTAACTACGGCAAAGTTTAGATAAAAAAGAACTATTATTCCGATTATAAATAAATATAGAAATTTTTCTAAAGACAATTGTATATCTGATTATATTTATTGTAGAATTTTTTTTATCATTTTTATAGATCCGCTTTTGTAATTCTCTTTATAAATATCATAAATTTCTAATATACAATAATGTGCAATCTCCATTTTCAATCGAGTTAAGAAATTATAATGTAAATTAAATTTAAATAGGGTACGTGATTAACGTGCTTAATCCAATTACTTATCTTCACATTTTAATTTGACTCGTTTTATGGGTGAAATACCAATCATTTCGTTCACTGATCGGATTAATATTACATAAATGGAACGCGAGGAAGCGACATCCACGATCTATGGCACACCTATGCGTACAACTAAAGGTGATATCTTTGTCTCTTCGTCAGGATTGAAAACAGGACGTCCATACGTGTCATGTTTTAAATAGTTCTTGTTTTGACTAATTAATTTTTTCAAACAGAAGTGTCGTAGTACAAATAATTTTTCAAACATAATCAATTAGAAGTGAGGACTTTTTCACGAATTAAATTTTCTAGATTCTTAATACTCAATTTTTAATTAAATAAATCTTTAAATAAAATTAAATGCCTAATTTTTAAGATATATTCAATATTTAATATTGAAAAATAGAAATAAAAGAACGCTCATTGAAGCATACATTTAAAATTCTTTAACACAAATTTAAACAATAATTTATTTATAAAATTATGTAATATCAAGAATTCTAGGAATATGATTTATTAAAATTCTTAGATATTAAACATGGGAGGACTGACCTATCAATTTTAGGTAAACTATGATTGAACGAAAATTCTATAAATTAAATTTAATATTGAGAAAAGAAGATTCTAAATAATCTCTTTACATTAAATATACATGTATTACATGTACAATTGTCGATCATTTTACTCGCGATAGATGCGACCGTGAATCTTGCAAAAAACACATGTGAATGAACAGCGTTTCCTTTAATCATCTTCGATTACAGTTATAAAGTAGGTTATTCGAATGAGCGAAGAAAGTCATGGACAAAATGTCTTGGTTTATCTTAGAGTGCGAACAAATGAACCACGCTGGCGTCCTGTAATGAATCCAATCAGACCCCCTTCTTCTCGCTTTATGAAAACCGACCAATTATAATAGTTACTCGAGCTTTCATTATTCACTTTCCCGATCGTTCCGCTTTCAAAGTTTTCGTGCCTAACATCGAATGTATAATTAGCAATTCTATATCGGTTGTATC